CCATGTCTCCAGGACTGAAGCAGGAGCTCTTTTCTGCCGAAAGGTAATGCTTATGAAACGAGAGATGTTATGGAAGGCTGCTCCATAGCCCTAAGGCTTCCTGAGTCACTAAACTTTCTGTCCATTTCATTGAGGTTAAATATCATGTGATTCAAAATTGGATAGGTAGGGACCCTCATCCATTGCTGGTTGGATTGTAAAATGGTACAGCTGCTGTGGAAAACAGTATAGCAGTTCATCAAGAAGTTAACATAGAGTTATCATTTGACCAAGCAATTCTACTCCTAGGTATATACCCCAGAGACTTAAAAGCAAGAACTCAGATACTTGTACACCAATGTTCATTGCAGCATTATTCACAGTAGCCAAAAGGTGGAAACAACCCAAGTGTCCATCAACAGATGAATGGATAAACATAATGCAGTATATACATACGATGGAATATTACTCTGTCACAAAAAGAAATGATGTTCTGATAAATGCTATCACATGAATGAACCTTGAAAACGTTGTGCTAAGTGAAATACTCAGACATAAAAGGACAGCTATTATATGATCCCACTTATATGAGATGTATAGAATAGGCAAATGCTTGGAGACCAAAGCCTGTTAGTGGTTGCCAGGGGCAGATGAGGGAGGAAATGGAGTATTGCTTAAGAAGTACTGAGTTTCTGCTCATGGTGCTGAAAAAATTGGAAGCGAGTAGTGGAGATCAGGGCCAGATTAAAGCATGTAAGGGCCCTAAACACTGGTAATGAACCCAAATGTGACACATGCCATTTTAGTGGAATGAGATGAACTGAATTATAAAAATTTTTAGTGGATATGAGGTTCTAAGATTTTTTACTATATACCACATTTTCTACAAAAAGAATATTCTACAACAAAGAAAATGAGTCAGTGAACTTAGTTGTTTCAACAATCAATCTTAAGTGACTATCCACCAATTTTGCTTTACACAGCTTATGCTTCAATTTGGATGCTTCTTTTGTAATAAATGCTATAATTATAAATGAACAAATGAAAAGATGTCATAAAAGAAAATTTAATGATCAGAAAACAAATACTACAACGAATTACATACTTTGTTTTAGATAGATCTTTCATCTCCAACATGTTATAATTTAAAACATTTCTTTCTATTCTTTGCTCTTACAAATTCTTCGATGATTTCATCACAGTTAAGCTGCTGAACAATATCTACTTCCATACATAACAAGGATAATGAATCGAGTCTTTCTTGAATCATTGGTGTACGATGAGGTTTTTTGAGTCTCTTTAGGGGCAGAAATGAGTGTCCTGTTGTGCAGTTTATGATCATTAAAGTTAGGAATATGGGAAAGCGATTTCAACACTGGGAAATATGAATTTTATTTTATCTTCTATTATGGAATCATATATGCCTACCTAGGTAAAATTTGTCTTTCCTGTATAATCTATAAACTTAGTTCCCATGTAAGAATGAAATTGTCACACTTTTTCCTAAAGGTTTCTATTTAAGTCATCAAGATAAGCCTGCACTAATCTCTTTGATGTCTTCATGCATTCGTTATCAGGTATATCCACATTGTTTAAAAAAAGGAAAATCTGTTTGAAAGAACTTCATACACTTCACCCCTCTTTTCATGCAAGATTCAAGTGTGTCAGTGATGGTGTAGTATGTGGATATGCAAAACTGATCTCTGGCACTCAGTGATACCTCTGGAGCACTTCCATCATTTACTTGTTTCTTTCTTATGCTGCAGTGGTGAACTGCTTGATAATCAGTATTTGGGAGTTTCTGCTTTGTGGTGTTTTCAAAATTTTCAAAATCCTCTCTTAAATTATGTAAATACACTATTAATGACTATAGAGAGCTGTGCATGTCTTTAAATTTACTTCTGAATCTTGGAGAGCTTGACTCATCCAATGAAAATGCTACAATATATTATTCCACATAAAACTCAAACCAAACCCATTGCCGTCTAATCGTTTCTGACTCGTAGCGATCTTATAGGACAGAGTAGAACTGCCCCCATAGGGTTCCCAAGGCTGTAATCTTTACGAAAGCAGACTGCCACATCTTTATCCCATAGAGCAACTGGCAGGTTCGAACCAACAACCTTTCAGTTAGCAGCCAAGCGTTTACTCACTGTGCCAACAGTGCTCCTTCATTATTCCACATGACCAAAATAAATAGATACTCTAGTGTTAGCATTTTGTTGGCAATGTTTTCAACTTCCTTTTGGTATCTCCTTTTTGTGCCTGGTCTTCAACAATATTTTCTAAGGCATCTAGAATCTGAGTGTACTATTCTAGGATTGCACTTGTTGCTACAGCATGCACTTCCCAGTGTGTATTAGAAAGACATTTTAATACTCAATCATTTGCCTAAATATGTTTTTAAGAATTGCCCGTCAGTGAGTAGCAGTGGCAAAAAAAATGTGTAGAGTAACTGAACAGTTGAAAAAAGATCAACTGCTTCTTCAGGACAACAATCTACTGCTCTACATCCTACAAGATTAAGCGAATGTGCAGCACATGGTATGAAAATGGCATATTCATTACATTCTAAAATTTTCTGTTGCATGCCCTTATAACGCCCTGATATATTGGCAGCATTGTCATAGGACTGGCCTCTACACTTAGAAAAATCAATTTTGCAAACGTCACATAAATAGTGAAGTACTTGATTTGCAATTTCTTCACCAGTATGACTTTTTAAGTTAGTAAATGTGATAAATGACTTGACAGGTTTTCCATCTGTTGGAGATATGTATCTTAAAACAACACTTAGCTGATATGTATGAGAAAGATCAGGAGTGAAATCTATAGACAAACTGAAATATAGAGCTATACTTATTTTGCTGAAAATAGTTGATCGAACTTTATCACTTATTAAATTTATTAATTCTTCACACATTGTTTTAGCAATATACAATGGATTGCTCTTGCCTGTGTTACCATGTTTTGAGATGTGACCTGCTAAAAATGGATCAAACTGAGCAATAAGTTCAAGTAAACCAAAAAAATTTCCATTTTGTGGGCACCCAAACACTTCATTTCTTCCTTGAAAGATAGTCCACATTCAGCAATTGTTATAATGACAGCAACAATGCATTGCAAAATGGCTTTCCAGTAGTGATGTTCTTCATTAATTTGTGTTTCCAGTTCATGAGTTAAGCCAAAACCATGTCTTTGGTTTAAATATGACAGCATACAGTCTCTGTGGATTGAACTGTTTTCATGTTTGTCAGTCGTATTCGAGTTGCAGCAATCACTAAATCCATCCATAGCAAATCAAGAATTAAATGACTTAGGACTGAATAGTTTGCAAACAAAAAATATACAGAGCTGACTGATGGAGAATACAGTAGCCATTCCCTCTTATAATTTTCACCATTAGCTTTGCACCCGAGAAATATATTCTGACTACAGAACCTTGTTTGTTTACCATCCAGAAATTTTCAACATGACTTTTCAAATGGTCCACTGTGATGTTGACAATCACTTAGCCCCTTTCAATCCAATAATTTACATCATTAGAAGAAAAATTATTCCACAAAGCAGGATCTGTATTTCTGTTATTTATGGGGTCTGCAGATGCAACAAGTTCAGATTCTAAAATAGTTTCACTTTCTACATCTTTATTAATTTTTTTACTATAGCAAGGAATGGAACAAAAAAAAGGAATTTGGAGAAAATTCTGTTATATTCGTATTGCTATTAGTAATTTCAGCACTAGCAGTGCTAGTACAATTTGTACCCATTAAACTTGAGCATTCAACAGAAAAAGTCTCTTCTGATACATTAAGTTTTTAAAAGGAAGTTAATTTTGGAATCGTTTTTAGGGATTCACAAACCCTTTACTTTTTATCTTCTTCCAGTTTTCAATTTTGTGCTCCACTTAGTTATTGCCATTTCATTTTACCTAGACATAAGATTATGTCACTTTTTAAATTTGCTTCTACTGTAGCAAATAAATTTGAATTGAAAATAAATAAAATTTACAAAACAAGTAAAATTTATAAAATTTCCATTCAAATTTAGACGTTAACACAAAAATTTATATTTGAAAATTATTTAAAAAATTGATTTGGGACATGTAATTTTTTATTCAGGTCTGAGATAGTGAAAAGAAATAGTACTTACAAGGCAGTCAGAAATAATTTCATTCGTTTGTCATACGATCTTTGTTGGTGGGCCCTTCGCAGATCTCCACAAGCGTTTTCATCTGAAATAATACTTAAAAACTTGCGTGCTCACTTCCCATCCTTTGATGCTGCGTCTTCGCAGTTCATTGCACTACTCTGATACGTGAAGTGGGCAAAAGTGATCACAAATACAAGGGTACCCTCATCCTAAAGATGCATTTTGGTTCGCTTTGCACAGGACCGGATACATCACGAGTCACGCTGGCATGTTCTTACGTGGTTGTTGAGAGAGAACTGAATGTGAGGTTATACCCAATCAATCTGAAATGAAAAGGAAAATGTAATGGTTATTGTATACAAAATTTATAAGATGGTAGTAATTTCATCTGTGCCCTGCCAGTTCCCTTCCACGGCAGTGCTCGTTTTTCCTTGTGTCCTTTCTGCTTGGCATCTGTGGGTCTTTGTTTTGGACAATTGGTGCCCCTGTTTTGTTGATGCCCTAAGCACATGCTTACTTTGCTTATTGAATAATCTGTCCCTGGTGGTGATGTTTGCACAATCTAGTGAACATAATTAAAGTTACTGAATTGTATACGTTAACATGGTTGAAATGGCGATTATTATCTATTTTTTACCAGTTAATTTTTAAAAAGAAAAGGATAGCAAAACAAGGGGTCAGACCAAAGGCAGTAGGTGGGTCATGTTCTGTATCTCCACTCTTCAATCATCACAGGACTCAAGTAGTGCTATGCAAGGCTGGGGTTCAGGTTCTGCCTTACATCAAAGTGAACCTTTCTGGCATATTGTTTTGAGAAATAAAAATTCTTAGTCATGCTACTTATGGCTGTTTTAACCTGTTTCTTTCAGACACCATTGTTCTTATCGCTTCAATAGCAGTTGTTTCTGCAAAAACTCAGGGTAATATTTTTGCCACGTCTGCACTCAGAAGTCTCCGTTTCCTGCAGATTCTCCGTATGGTGCGCATGGACCGAAGGGGAGGCACTTGGAAATTACTAGGTTCAGTGGTTTATGCACACAGCAAGGTAAGATTTGCTTACTGAATTATAGAACAAGATCTTTAAACTTTTTTGTTGATTGCTGCAATATTTAATCTTTCACAAGCAAACTTAGTCATTTCAGAAGTTAGTTAAAGCAGTTTGGAGACATGGTGTGTAATGGATTGTTGAAAATTCATCATAATTGTCCAAGAAGTAGTAAAGTGAATGGAATCATGCATAATTTTTTTCCTTTTTCACATATTTTTTGCCTCTAAAAATCTTTCGTTCTTCTTATATCTAGGAATTAATCACAGCTTGGTACATCGGATTTTTGGTTCTTATTTTTTCATCTTTCCTTGTCTATCTGGTGGAAAAGGATGCCAATAAAGAGTTTTCTACATATGCAGATGCTCTCTGGTGGGGCACAGTAAGTATACAAATCTGTTTTTTATTCATTGGACATTGTGAAATATTTCCGCTGAATACAATGTAATGGTTCCTATGAATGATCTCAAAAATATTGACTTTAGAGAAGCAACTTCACATAAAGTTACAAAAAAGGTGATAGTAGCTGAATGAAAGTAGAAGAGTAAAATCATAGCATAAAAGATGGAAAAGAGAAAACGGGTAACAGTCTTTCAGATTAGAGATTCCTAACAACCTCATTTTAAAGCTTTCCACTCAAACCCTGCTTTTCCTTCATATTGTTGTTAAAGCATAATTTCCAAAAAATGATAAAATCATGGCTGAGACAGTTATTTAACTCATATTTTTAAAAGTTAAGTCATTATTAATGAGGGAATTTAGTAAGATGTTACAGCCAGCTCAAAGGACTATCCAAAAAACAGACACATTTAAAGATCAGGAATATTGAAATGAATGTGCAAAGAAAGACAAACTGGCTTCTTCCACAGTGTTTGGAGAGAAGTCAGCAGAACCTCACCACACAGAATTTATTTACATGTCGATAGACAAGAATTATCTTGCATTGCTACTAGTTATCTACAACTTAAAACCCATTGCCCTGGAGTTGATTCTGACTCATAGAGACCCTATAAGATAGAAGAGAACTGCCCATGGGTTTCCAAGGAGCAGCTGGTGGATTTGAACTGCTGACTTTTTGGTTAGCAGCCAAGCTCTTAACCATTGTGCCACCAGGGCTCCATCTACAACTTACAGAACTGTAAAACAGCTCAAAGGCCATGAAATGTGGTGGTGTTGTTGTTAGGTACCATTGAGTTGGTTCCGATTCATATTGACCCTATGTACAGCAGAACGAAAAGTGTAGAGTCCCATAAAATCTGAATCAGATAACCCAAGAAGTGTGCTCTAAACAAGGCAGCATTTTCCATGCAAGCACATTGTAAAGAATGTAAATGTTGCAAAGAATTTATAGAACAATTCTTGTAACATATGCCCTAATAAGAATATCACACAGTATGGAAGTGCCTCATGAAATGTGTAAACTAGATTTCTTTTTATTTTATTCCTTTAAGGCATTCCAAGAGGGAGTTATGTGAAAATATACAGCATTTGTAATTGTCTAAAGAGTTTCTGCATCTCTTTGATCCAACAAAATTAAGTTCTTTTTATAAATCTTTAGTAGTTATTTCTTGAGTGTTAGATTATTGCCAGAATAAAAATATATCATTTTCTTAAACTGTCATTAAAACCTTAAGAGGTTTTTTATTTATATGTTTGTTTTTAATTTTATGGAGCACAGATTTAAGATGCCAATTGTTGCGTTGGTCCACCACGCATCAAAAGGTCATTAGCAGGAACTAGAAATCTTGTCAAGGACAAGAAAACTCTGTCAGGGCTTGTATTAAGCAGAGCATGGTATGTTGGTTGCATAGCAGCAACAGCAATAAAATGAATAAGAATCAGAAATATATTCCCTGAAGATTAGTCTGGCTTTTTTTTTTTTTTCCTTAAACCGTCAGAGTAAATATCTAGAAGATTGTGCCATTGGTAACAAAGCATCCTGTTAGTTTAATAATTTGGTTTCCGACTCCTCTTCCCCACTCACAAGCAGTAACGGAAATTTTGAAAGAACGAAAGTGGAAAACCTGAAAGAGCAGTCATGGGACATTCTTAAAACACTTTTTATATGAAAATGAGTTACTTCACATAACGACAAATGAAACCCTATGACTCATGGTGGGATAAGCTGTGTAAACTGAGCAAAAAGGAGGCTTTCCATGCCAGCAAGGGGAAGACAATTTATCATCCCAGCCTTGAAAGCAACGTTTGAATTCAAGTTTAGTTTTTGTTTCTTCTGGATAATTCTAATGTAAATACATTACTGAGACATTTAAGTGCACCTTTTCCCACTGAGATGCTGGTGGTGGTGGGTTCAGCCTGGCAGTTCTCTATTCTTCTTGCCATTATTCTTCCTTCTGTCCTATTACGAGCAAGAATTGCTGTGTTGTGTTTTAAACAGTGTGTGGGACACTCAGAAAATACCTTGCACTTAGTCACCAGCTTGTTTCTTTTGCCAGAATAGACCGCGTAGCAGGTTTTCAAAGGTCATATCTATGACTTTCAGGGGGAAGCAACCTATTTTCATTGATCTCTTTATTTCAGTAATGCTATTTTGGCTGAAGTTTAACCTGTACTTTACAGATTCCTGAATGGCCTAATTATGCCTCTATTGAAAAAAAAAATCTAGTTCTGAATATAAGAGTAAATATTTTCCCAGATGTCAAGCTTCTAGGAATAAAAAAGTTCTGTTTTTCCACAGTGTGTTTGTTTATATTAACTGACTCATTAATGAAAGTGAAGCCTAAAAAGACACAAAAGCAAACAAAAGGGCTCATTACTTCTATTCATTACATGAGGAACATAAACTAGGTCTCCAGTGTGAAATAAAATAAATGTAGAATATTATATCTTTTATTATAGATTAATTGATACCTTAATGAAATATATGGCTGGATATTTTTTAGTTGAAATTTTCCATGTTGTGCAAAATAAAACCCTTAATAACTATGGAAGTATCCATAATAAATAGAGAAATGAAAGCATTCTGAGCTGAGTATTACTAAGCGCTAAGCTTTGGTGAATAAAGGAAATCCCCTGTATTAAAAGAGCCCAGAGTATCAACATTAGGTATAAAAATGCAATTTGTGTCCTATAGATTCAGTATCCCAGTGAATTCCGACTACTAAATACTAAACTCCTTCCATTAAGAAGATGCTGGTTTTGTTCATCAAAAGACTTTACCAATTGAAGGGTAAGATAATACACTGAGGGACTGAATTACTGGGCTGAGGGCTAGGGACCATGGTCTTGGGGGACATCTGGTTCAATTGGTATAACATAGTCTGTAAAGAAAATGTTCTACAGCCTACTTTGGTGAGTAGCATCTGGGGATCTTAAAAGCTTGTGAGCAGCCATTTAAGATACTCCACTGATCCCACCTCATCTAGAGCAAGGGAAAATGAAGAAAACCAAAGACACAAGGAAAACGTTAGTCCAAAGGACTAAGGACCACAACTACCACATCCTCCATCAGACTGAGTCCAACACAACTAAATGGTGCTTGGCTACCACCACCGACTGCTCTGACAGGGATCACAATAGAGGGTCCTGGACAGAGCTGGAGAAAAACATAGAATAAAATTCTAACTCACTCGAGAAGGGAGAGTGTTGACATGTCGTGGGGTTGTTAACCAATGTCATAAAACAATACGTGTACTGACTGTTTAATGAGAAACTATTTGTTCTGTAAACGTTCACCCAAAGTACAATTTAAAAAAAAAAAATTCTAACTCACAAAAAAAGACCAGACTTACTAGTCTGACAGAGACTAGAGAAACTCCAAGAGTATGGCCCCTGGACATGCTTTTAACTCAGTACTAAAGTCATTCTTGAGGTTCACCCTTCAGCCAAAGATTAGACAAGCCCATAAAATAAAACAAGACTAAATGGGCACAGCAACCGAGGGGCAAGGACAAGAAGGCAGAAGGGGACAGGAAAGCTGGTAATGGGGAATCCAAGGTCAAGAAGGAGAAAGCGTTGACACGTCATGGTGTTGGCAACCAATGTTTAATAAGAAACTAATTTGCTCTGTAAACCTTCATCTAAAGCACAATAAAATGATAATAATTTTGAGGAAAAAAAAAAAAAGAGACTTTACCAAAAAAAGTAAAAAGACAAGCTACTGACTGGGAGAATATCTTAGGTAACCACATATACAATATGTGTCTAATAACCAAAATATATATAAAACTTCAACAACTTAACAAAAAGACAAATAACCTAATCATAAAATGAGCAAAGGACTTGAATGGACATTTCACCAAAGCAGACGTTCAAGTGGCCACCAAACATGTGAAAAGATGCTTAACATCATTAGCCATCCAAACCAAAAAACCAAACCCTCTGCCGTCGAGTTGATTCTGGCTTATAACAACCCTATAAGACAGAGTAGAACTGCCCCATAGGGTTTCCAAGGAGCGGTTGGTGGACTTGAACTGCTGATCTTTTGGTTAGCAGCTGAGCTCTTAACCACTGCGCCACCAGGGCTCCCATTAGCCATCAGAGAGATACAGATGAAAACCACAATAAGATACCACTTCACTCCCACTAGGATGGCTAAAATTTAAAAAAAGAAGAAAATAACAAATGTTGGTGAGGATGTGGGGAAATTGAAACCGTTATCCATTGCTAGTGGGAATGCAAAATGGTATAGCCATTATGGAAAACAATGTGGCAGTTCCTCAAAAAACAAAATAAAACTACTATATGATCCAGCAATTCCACTCCTAAGTATATAGCCAAAAGTGTTGAAAGCAGAGACTCAGACAGAGACTTGTACACCGATGTTCATTGCAGCACTTTTCACGATAGCCAAAAGGTGGAAACAACCTAAATGCCCATCAACAGATGAATGCATAAACAAAATGTGGTATATACATACAATGGCATACTACTCAGCCAGGAGGAGAAATGAAGTCTTGATACATGCTACGGTATGGATGGAGCTTGAAGACATTATACTAACTGAAATAAGTCAATCACAAAAGGACAAATATTATATGACCTCACTTATATAAAAAGTGAAGAAAAAGCAAATGTATAGAGACCAAAGTTTATTAATGCTTATCAGGGCAGGAGGGAGCAGGAAAGGGAGGTTTATTGCTTATGGTATGCTGAGTTCCAGTTTATGGTGATGGAAAAATGCATTGATTAAGGGTAGGATTGCACTGCTGATTATTGTAAGTGCTGTCAATAGGTTGTACACTTGTAAAAAGTTGGACTGACAAAAGTTGTGTGATAAACATATTTACAACAACCAAAAAAAAAAGAGTAGCTGTTGAGGCTGCTTATATACAACCAAATACCTCATGGGATTTGGTTCCTTGGTTTGGAGGTTTAAGGTCATGGTTTCATGGGACATCACAATTAATTGGCCTAATAACG